TTATATTTACATATGATTTCAGGAAAACCTATGATTAATATATTATAGGCAAAATACATATATAAATATGTACACATAGGTATGTGTATAAAAAGATGGGTAAAAAGTCAAAATTATAGGATTTCTCTTAGATATAGGTCTACCTTTTTAATCAGCACTAGCAACACCACAAAAGAATGTTTGGAAGGGAAGAAAAATGAAGTATAAGTTATTCAGTTGGAAAAAGGAGGAAAATCTAACAGTTAAAATACATAACGTAATTCCATTACTGAAAGCATTTTCAGGGAACTTCTATTATTGTTGCAAAATTGCCATGGGATGTTATCTTTAAAAGATAAAATAGAAGTTGAACAACAGTTCTTATCTAATGGCAAGAAAGTCCCCACTCTTCAAAGATTTATGTATACAGCTAACTTTATGCAGTCAAAGTAGTCTTGCTTCAGACAAAAAACTTTCCAAAATGCTTAAAATTAGGCATAATATATCTAACTTGTCACAAAATTGAGACCTACAGCCTTACGTGGAAAGTCATAGCAAATATATTTTTCAAATTAAAAAAAATGCATAGTCTTTCACAAGATAGTATCAGTTTTGACCTGCATTTTTTATTTTATTTTTTGACCTGCATTTATTCATAAAAGCAGTGTTTTAAAAGTCTGCGTAACGTTTCTTTGATGAATCAAATATTTATCACAAAAAGGTCGCTGACAACTTAGAAACTGTATTTTAAAATCTTTCCAATTACATTACTGGTATTTTCCATTCTCACTTTTTTTTTTTTTTTAAAGTAAGAATTTTGCTTTTAACTTTTTTTCTCTGATTTTTAAACTTGACTGAAAAAAAGTAATTATGAAGTTTTAGGGAACTTTTTACAAATGCCAGCAAGGTGTTTTTTCAGCTAACTATATACAAAGAGTGTGGGAAGACAGTATGTTAGAAAGGTCAATATAAATGAATGCTATGAGAGGTATTTGGGGACACATATCTTAGATAAATTTTAATTCTTTTCCTTTTAAATGGACTCTATCATGATAAGCTTTCAAGTAACTCCACCAAGTTGAAAATATTTGAAGATAAGCTATATTTATAGTGTACTCCTAAATGCAAAGATGGCTGTGAACTCTTATTTATGACTGAACAGTGTTATCTAGCCACAAAATGTTCACATTTATTTTCAGTTTTACTAGTGGATGAATGTTGACTGTGATAATTAGTTCCATTTCCATCATCTCGAAAGCATACAAAACAACAGGACTTTCTGTAAACTAACAGCACATTGTCATCTTAAAACTTATTCATCAGAGAAAGGTATTTCAGCTTCCTTGAAACTGATCTCTCCTCTATTTGTTGGTTGTTTGGGGTTTTTTTCTTGTGGAGAGGGATAGGTAAAAATTATGCAAATACTCAAGGTAAGGTTGAAAAGGGCTCTGAGCAACCTGACCTAGCTGAATATGTTCCTGCTCATTGGAGGGAGGGTGGGGATTAGATGAGCTTTAAAGGTTCTAAATATTCTACCAATAATAGTCTTTCCAGAATACAAAAGAGCTTCGGAAGTCCCTGAAGCCAACTCTCAGCCTTCATCATGAAGATCTTGGTACAGGACTTTAGAGACTCTGGATAGAGAGCAAGGTATCAGCTGGCCAACTTTAATGACTGTTCAGTTCTAAGCAATTACCCTGTACTTTTCTAAGTGTGCCTATTTTGTGTTATCACTTTTAGGAAAACTTGTCTTCCTTGTGCTTATATCCTTACCTGTTTCAGAGCATTTGCCTTGTAATCACAGTCACACAGGTTGCTCTCATGTCCGTTAAAGTAAAATATAAGTGATATTCTTAAGAGGACCAATGTAATTTTGAAGGGGCTAAAGAAGGCCTGGCTTTGTGAGACATTTTGTTTCAGTCTTCTATCTGAGCTTGGGCAAAATATAATCTACAGGCCAGTTCTTGACCTGCAAAACCAAGCAGTGATATTTCCCGTCTTTCAATTAGCTTGTCTGTTCAGCTCCTCCAGGAAAGTATCAAAATACTGTTAGCACAGTGCCTAGCCTACTCAAATCTTACATTTTGTTGGAGCTTACTGTCAGATGTACTTATAGTAAATAAGTCAGACCACCCCCACGCTCTTTCTCAGGAAATAGGGACATGTATACAAAAGATGGCTTGCCAGCCCCTCCTTCAATTTACCAATGGCTGATCATCGCCTTCCTCGGTCCAGCTTATGCAGCACTTGAAATCCTGAAAGATGGACAAGCATGATGGGTGGCCCTCAGACTAGGTGACTGAATCCAGCTCTCAACTCTTACTCTGTAAGAAAGGGTTTAGATAGAATGTAACAGGAGTTAATTTAAGCTGTTACAAGAGTAAATGAATGCTGGCACTAAGCCTAATGCTCTTGAGAGGATTGGAGATCTAACAGAGAGTGAATCCCTGCTGGAACTTGGTCTAACACTATTAAAAGACACTGAGATGTGGAAGTGGACCTTCAGGCATGAGGAGATGTATGTCTACTTCGCACTTTTAATTTTTTGCTTTTGACTTTGTAACAAAACTTAAATTTCAGCCAAACATGATTTCCTAAGAATCACAGGATTCACAAGGGTTTGTTTCATGGTAGTATGTTTTCGTCTTTTGATGTAGCTTCACATTATATTCATTATGCCTAACAAGAAAAGACTGCATTTAAATATTGTTACATAACTATTCAGTGGAACATTGACTCTTAAGGAAAAATTACATTTTAAACATTTCAGAAAATATTTTCTTAGTCTTTTCATTTGCTTTTTCAATATTTCAGCAATGCAAACACCTCTAGTACAAAGTCTGAAGTCAACATGTAGAAAGCATTTTTAAAAAAAAGCAGGTATGTCTTGCTAAAGGTAATGATTTCTGCTTACAAGAGCCAAAGAGCAAACTGAGCAGGATGGGAAAGGGAGCTAACATTTTAGTGCTGCAGGGCATAGTAGGTGATTAAATTTGTCACCACATAGCACAGTTTGTCTGATGAAACTCATATTTACCAGACTGTCAGTGTTATTTCTATAGACCACAGTAAGCTTTGCTTTCTGTCATCAACTACCCTGCAGTGATAATGCAAGGAGTGAAACAGGACTTTCTCTTCCTAGCCAAGAGTTTTCTAGCTATTTAGGCATATGTTCTAGCACTCACAACTGTACCAGCCCGGTTACAGCAACACAACTGTGAGCAACATTAGTGCAGCCATAGCTCTGTACTCCTGGACACTGCATCCACAGGGTGACTTCACTGCAGGGAGAGAAGGGGTGGCTGAGGACACTTAACTTCCACATCAGCATTGCGTGCTTGCAGTCATATGAGGATAACTCTCCATTCACACTGCAGTTGTTCCAGTCAGGAATGTCATCTGAGGAAAGACAAATTACCTACTTATTTATTCTTACTTAAAGAAAAACTGAAAATGCCTGGCAGAGTAATGAACTAAACCTGTTTACTTGTGTTGTGACAGTGTGTTCGACATCAAGTGATCTGGCATTCAGAAATCAAATCACTCTGACATCCTTTACAATGTTTCTAGGATTTTGCCAGCATTCATAAAGTGCTTGGTTATTGGTTGACACAGAAAATAAAGTACTTTTAATATGTTTGTACAAATATTCTGTGTCAAACTATAAAATTGGGATGGAAAATATTTTATCTGTCTAGAGGGAATTAAAAACAGGCAATAGGAATTTGCTGCAAGTTTTGCATCTCTGCAGAAGCAAGGTTTTGCTGTATGTGTTTGTGTATAATGACAGAGGGATTTTGCGTCTATGTTTTGCAGTATCTGGGGTTTAAAAAAACTTTTCCCATATGAGTTAACTAGGTTTCAGGGAAAAGGAAAAAGATTTTGCAATGTACATTAGTATGTGAAGATGGAAACCATTTGCCCTACATGTTGCACTTTTGGGTGATTTTGCAATGAGCAGTCATTTGTGTTCCCCAAAGAAGGTGCTTTTGAAGGATTTGTATCCTACTAAGGACTCAGGTCCTGTGATTCCCGAAGATGTCTCAAACACTTCACAGAATGACACTCAGCAGACAACACATGCTAATGGAAGACTGGATAAATTCTCAGATGCCATTAGTTAAATGACTGAAATTACCACCTATGAAACTGAATTCATGACTCCAAAATTACTTTAGTGGCACTGATGGATTATCACCTTTCATCAGAGGATAACGGGCAAAAAAGGATTTCCATGTTTCAGAGCCTGTACCACAGCATTTGTAATGCTGACAACACAGTACTGCCTGTCATATCAGAAAGAGGCGAAAGATACAGTTTGCTAAAACAGATTGAGTACTTTCCGAAGGCCTTCTTCCAAATAGCGAAGTAATAGGAAATTGCATGCAGCCATTCTCTCACCAGTCTTTTTCCACATTCACACGGAGTCACTAGGTGAACTGGTCTGAAAACATAGATACTTGTACTGCCAACATACAAATGTTGTTTAGCTTCCTCTCTGCTTTATTTCATATGACCTTAGCATTAATTCCAGGATGGCCCAATTTCTGAACGAGATCAACTAACTAATGTTTGAGTGTGACCAACTGACTCAATCTAAACAAGACCTAGAGAGCTTTGTTAAAACTATAGCAGTGGGAGAAAAAAGCACTCTGAAGCATGCACAGTGAATAGCTCTCTTTTGACACAAGTGATTACTGCCAATCAAATTGTTCTGTAATGCTTTTCAGTGAACACCTCTGCCATGACAGTTTCTGTAAACAGCATCTTCTGTTATCTGTATTTCATGAGAAACTCTACTCCGCCCTTGAAAAGGATATTCTAAACTTGTTCATGCTTTTGGTTTTTCTCGTCTGGATCATACACCGTGCAACACACCCATAGGTGACATCTCCAACGCCTAGAAAACCCAAACTTTAGAGCACACAGCGCGAGGTCAGCCCTGCTTGTGGAAGCTCACCTAACGTGCCTCTCTCAGTACATCGGGCTTCCCGCAGGGTTTCGAACCCCAGTCACGAACCGTTGCTCTTCATGTACTTAGCAGCGGCTTAAAGCTCTGGGACAAGAGTCACATCAGGGAATAAGGTGAGCTCAGCGAGAGACACAGGGTGTGGTTCACCCTGGGGCCGGAGGGCCCCTGCAAGCGCCGTCACTTTTCACTCCCCACTGCCCAGGGAGGCCTGCGGTGCTCCCTCCCCTGGCACACACAAACGCCTGGCCCTGCCCTGCCCGTCTTCCCCCCTCCACCAGCAACCCGCCAGGCCCTCTCCCCTTCCCAGGGGAAGGCCAGAGGCAGCCACAGCCCGCAGGGAAGGGCCCTGGGCCGGCAGCCCCCCTCCGTTCGAGGTGTTTCCAGGGAAAGGCCGGGAGCGGGGCCCTGCGGCCTCCCCTCAGCCCCGGGGGACTCGGGGCTGAGGGGAGGGCGCGACTCCAGGGCAGGACGGCGGCCTTATGGCGCCGGTCACTGCTGCGCACCTCCGCCTGCGTTACAGGATCGCGGAATCCTTTAGGCTGGAAAAGACCTCTGGGATCATCGAGTCCATCCTGCGACCGGACACTACCTTGTCAACTAGACCTCGGCATTGAGTGCCGCGTCCAGTCTTTCCTCAACCACCTCCAGGGATGGTAACCACCACCTTCCTGGGCAGCCCAATCCAATGTCTAATCACCCTTATTGCAAGAAATCCCTGCTCTTGTCCAACCTAAAGGTCCCCTGGCTTAGCTTCAGATATGTACTCTCGTCCTGTCGCCAGCTGCCTGGGGGAAGAGGCTGAACCCCAGCTGGCTATAACCTCCTTCCAGGTTACCTCTCTGCCAGCTCCGTCCCCTCCGGCGGTGCGGGCGGCGTCGCTCCCGCCAGCGGAGCGGGGACAGGCCGACCCCGGTGGGACCGACCCGGGGACGGAGCCGCCCCCCGGCCTCGGGCCCGGCACGGCGCATGCGCGGCGCGGCGGCCGCGCCGTGTTCCGGGAAGATGTCGGCGGCGTGGAGAGCGGCGCTGGCCGCGGGGGCCCGCGCCCCGCTGCGGGGGCGGCTCGCCGGGATGAGACCCCCGCGGGGCCAGCGCCGCCCGCCCGCCTGCGGGGCCGTCCTCCTGCTCGGGGGAGGCTGCCTGGCGGCGTGCTACAGCCTGCGGGCGCGTGTGCTCCCGACAGTCCTGGCTCAGGTAAGGCAGCGGCGGCGGCGGCGGCGGCAGCAGCATCCCCGCTCCCGCCGACAGGCAGGGCTGGGCCGGCGCGATGGGAGCCGCAACCCGGGGGCGGCTGTCGGCGGCCTGTCGGGGTCCGCAGTGGTCAGACCCCGTCCTGCAGGAGCCGTTACGGCCCCGGTGGTCCGGCAGGTAACGCGCGTCCCCGGCCCGCTGGGCATCGGCAGCGCATCACCTACACCGAGCCCGCCGCACCCCACCGGCGGGAACTCCGCCGTTCGCCGCAGCAGGAGAAGGCAGGTTTTGCCTCGGCACCGAGCGCTTCCCGTGTTCGCTTGACAGCCGTGGACCCGGGTCGTTTGAACAAGCACACGGCCTGTGCTGAGCCCTGCGCTTTGCTGGTAACTTTCAGGTGAAAGGTAACTTTCTTCCTTTCACGATGCCCGGGCTGTACGTCAGGTGCTGTTAGACACTCGTGCACCTTTTTTCCTTCTAAAAAAAAGAATATTTCGCAAAAGTAGTGCATTTATAACCGATACTTTGTCTGAAACGCATCGCACAGAATGATTTCCTCTTACTCTGTCCAGACTGTGTCTTTGGACACACATTTCCTCTTACTCTGTCCAAACTGTGCTAAAGTGTATTTTCCCTTGGAGCATCAGTGCACAGTCATAAGGATATGTTCAAGGACAGATGGTTATTATTTACAAAATTGTTGCAAGTTCCAAAACACAGCTGTGTTTCCCAACTTCATCCTTTTCACGGAGGAAGTGAGCTTTTCTTATTCCTTAAGATAAGAAGTTACTGTCAATTGGAGTTGGTTTATTATTTGAAGGCTGGAAGACCTAAATGTTTTGTAGGCCAGAGGGTTTCGGTGGGATGGGGGAAGAGGTCAGTATATGCTTGCAGTACCCAGTACCATTCATCTACTTATATCTAACAATTTTTGGAAGTTTAGCAGTTTGTATGCTGTGATATCTTATCTCTTAAGAGTGATTGAATAGACTGAACTACAGGCCAATAAATAGCAACCTTTATTCTTGAGAGCAACCTTTATTCTTGAGTCAAGAACAAAGAATTTTTTTTTTAACGTTGCAGTCTTAATTGTGGAGAATTTCTAAGCTGCATCTTCTCAGAACACTCAATTTTTATTAAATAAGCATTTTTTCTAAATAGATTAGCCTATTAATCCTGGTTCCTTGTACAGCACATGTTAAAACTTTGATTTTCTATATACAGCTCCTAGCAAGGAAAGCATCCATTACTCCACTAGAAATCCTACTGGAAACATGTCTGCTTGTTGTTTTTATGTTTAGTTATGTGACATTTTTCAGAGGCATTGCATTATGTTTAAAAAGTCCTGTTATTGAGACCAGTTTCACATATGCACAGAACTCTTGCTTATGTAGATGTGTATGTAGGTATGCATAAAAAGTATTAAATGTGGGAAGTAATCACTTTTACAGGGTGTTGAGTGAAGTGATCTGGTTCTGGTGCTGTTGTGTTCTCTTGGAGTAGCCTCCATGTAACACATGGACAGTCCTGCAAGTACACTTTTAATAATTCTTGGGGGGAACTCCAAAAGTCTAAGGCTTATTTAACTGATTTGTTTTTGAAGACAGTAAATTGCTGGACTATGCAATTTATTCAATTTGAACTTTTCAGTTTTCCAGTAAAATGATTGTTGGAGATGCTAGTTCTCCAAATGTCTTGTATTCCATATTGCTGCAATTAATTTATTGAGCTTTTCAAAACTACCGAAGAACTGACCATGCAGAGCATAATATTAAGGCTGGTAAGCTGAATGTGGAACTGGATTGTGAAGGCAACGAGGAATAGAGTGATAGAGCCAAAGAGGCATGCTGCGAGTCTCTTAAGCAGTTTAGATGCTGCTTGTAGCTTCTCGTTAATAGAAATAGAAAATAGTCAAAAGCAAAACAGAGTGTTCAAATAAGTGTGTCGCCTTTATTTTATGTTTTGAAACCATCTTCTTTCAGTTCAGAGCTTGTGGAATCCTGTTAAATGGAGATGCTTTTCACATTCTAATTAATAGAGGATAACCTTACTGTCTGTTATTATTCCTTTTCATTGTAATTGATCTCAAGCAGCCTTTCTTGAGATTGTGCTGGCAAACAGTATTGAACTGTTTGATCCTGCTGAGGTGTGCTATGTAGTGGGAATGTTTGCAGCATACGTATGTGAAATATTATAGATTAGGGCAAGTATTTGAAATTAAACAGCATCATTTTCTTTATCATTGTTGTAATAAAGGAATAGGTAGTGGGTATGATTATACTTTTATCTCGTCAACTAGGCCTAACATTTGCTCTATAGAATGCAGTGAGATTCCAGTGCTTCCCGGTTTTCCTTGGTAGTATAGTCTTTACTGTTGAATTGCTGCAAAATAGGTGGTAATTATTTACAATACTTGACAAAGTCAAGCTAACAGTGTATCTCCATGCCATCATAAAATAAATAGCCAACATAAGATTTTATGTGTAGTTGTGTGACTTTTTCAGCGGCATCGCTTTATGTTTTAAAAGTGCTGTCATTCAGACCAGTGTTACCTGTGTGTGGTACTCTGGTGTAAGCATAATTTGAGCCGCTGGCTAATTCTCATTCTTGTAGGAAGTGAGATCTTACAACCAGTAGTAACTTTGTGCAGAAACAAAGTTTCCTTGTAAATACTTGTTGTTTGTTTAGGTTAAGTAGTTGAAGTTGCTAACTCCGTTTAGATTTCCTGTTATTCTCAATAAAACTGGTCTCTATCAAATTATTCAGACATTTTTCTGCTATACCTTCTTCTAGGCAATTTCTGTTGAAGCTAGCACACAACATGTCAAAGCTAAAGTTCTGTAAATTCAGTATTTATCACTTTTTTCATCTAAAGCTTTTGGTTATTTTAAAATAGATATAAAAAGACTGATATTTTTGGCACCTAGTTTCTTAAATATTTAATTCCTGTCCTTGCTCCCTGCTGGAGTAGGTTTAATCCTTCTCCTGTTGGTTATTGGCACTCCTAACTTCTGCTCAGAGTGAATGAAATTCAGCCTGCAGAATCAAAGGTCCTGCAGGGTCAGATAACATGTTTTGGTTTTGTGAGTTGTATGGATAGTGTCTGTTTTATTTTGTAGTGGCTTATGTTTGATTACTGTGTTTTAATGTAATTGTTTATTCTGACAATAAATTTTCAGATTGGGTTTTTTTTAAAACTTTGTTTGACCCAGTTTTTTTGTCACCATTTTCACTGCCACTTATCTGTTCTTACAGCTTACATTAAGTGGTTAGCATATTAATAATAAAACTTTCTATATTTAATGTAGTAAAACCTCAGATGTAATCTTTCATACAGCTTCAATAAGTGATTTATGAAGTTATTTTCATTCTCTTCACTTGCTGACCTACTGTTTAGAAATGTGCAACTAATATATATTGGAGTAAGTCCTTAGCACTGAGTATAAAACTCTACTTTACAAAGATTATTATAGCAAAGTGAACACAATTTGTAAAAAAATTTTTTATAGCTACCAGGTTTTAGTTCTATCTCCACCAGTGAAGCTACATTGACAATATCCTAGACCAGATATAGCTTGTACTGGGAAAAGCTAGGTGTTTGTTTTTTTTTTTTTTAAATTAAATTAGCTAATCAGCTTGTATCAAGAGGGGAAAAAAAAGAAGGGAAGGGGGTAAGAGCTTTTGTTCTACCAGTGTATCTCAGAATGGGGATTTATGTTGACTTCAATAAAAGTGTTTTTTCTGGTGTCCTAACCAACACAGCCAGGTCAAAAATGTACACACTGCACTGCACACTGCAGTGATACTATAAGGGCTGCTTTTCTTCAGTAGTGCAATTCAGGTGACACAACGGTATGTAGTTTGTAACCTTGATCAGACCTTGCAGTATTGTCTACTATGTCTTTATTCTCTCAGAGTGTGC